CTGTCCACCGTGCACGCAAACGGGCCACGTAAACCAAATTGTGACATCATCATTTCGGCGTCCGTTTCAGTCCTATCAGTTAGTTATCACTTCCCGCCACCCAATCATCAGTGTTTTTGTGTAGCCCCCCATATATGTAGAAGTTTGAGCTACTCTGGGTCCAAAGGGATGGAGTTATGAATTTCGCCGTCAGACACACACACACACAACGCTTAACCAATTTATCATTTAGGGTGGGGCTAAAAAAAGTCCTGAGCCAGTTTGACACTTTTTTGTTTCTTGCCTTTTTATTGCCACGTAGAATGGAATCTACAAACATATAACACCATTTGCGTACCCACTACAAGAGTCCCCACTAATGTGCAGTGTCAGCGGACTTCCTTCTCCAGAACAGAGCAGACTGAGAAGCTCAAAGGAAATCGCTGAACCGCTCTTCCAACTTCTTTTACCTTTGCTGAATTCTTTCTTCGCTAAGGGAATCCCCTTAAGGGGATAGATTATGTGATACATCAGAGAAGGCAATGATAAGGGGAATAGGGTTGAATGGGGAACCGCGCTCCCAGTAATCAGCGCTTCCAATTCTGCACGGGTCTCTTTGACTTTGTGGGGCGTGGCGCCTCATCGTGGAGTAGGGTGGACAGGAAGTTCGTCTCGGTCGGTTTTTCTTGAACAGCAGATCCGCTAGTTTCTAGAGCAGACTGAGCCGTAAATGCCTGCCGGAGTTGGTAGGTCTTGTACGGGAGCATATCATAGTACAGCATTCTCACAATGCCCAGAAGTAGCAAAGCGAGACAGCTTTTGCGGGGTGAAGGTCGATTTTTGCTTGTGTCGGACGAGGCCCTCTCTTCGACGGGAGCCACACGGCACCGTGCTTGTTTTAGAATCGTATAGGACCGCCACTCTCATCTCTCGTATCACGCCTTCCAAAAACCCCTTGGCGGTGGCGGGCAAAGAAGTAGAAACCTGACAAGATGACGGTACCGCCTGAACCGCGTGCTATCGGTCAAAACAGGAGGAATCCATTGAGTCACACATTTCCTGTGGCGAGGTCGTAGAAGGGGACCGAGGACTGTGGATTGGTGCACCCGAGTCTTGCTCAAAGGGCTGCGGGTGCTTAAAGGTCCGGATCCTCTTTCAGACAGCGCCGAGAACGGTGGGGTCTTCTACGCTTTTGGTGGGCTTAAGCAACCTTGTCTTTTCTTTGAAAGCCGTGTCTTTCCTCCCTCGAAGCTGCGAACCAGAGCTTGGCACTGAATGATGGCAGTGGTGACCGATTTCCAATGCGATGCTTCGATATGTTGACGGTCCCAGTGCTCCTGTGCCGCAAGCGCGATTCATTGAAGTGGATCGCTCGACAAGTGTTCCTGAGGAATCACCGATCATGATTAAAGTTAAAGAAGGCAACCCGAATATATACGATTGGGAGAAGTATGCGACAACGATAGTTCTAATCACGGAGTAGATTCTAGGTAATCGACCAATAAGCGAAAGTTCTGGGAGCTTTCAAAAATCGGTCTCAAAACTTCTTTCCAACCTAATATAATAGGTAGGATGAATAGGAAAAGGATCTTATGGGTAGTGCATCACCACTGAGACTGGTAGGATCCACGACTTGCTTGCGATCACAATTTGCTATGAAGTGCTTCTGCGTGTGAGTTCCTAAAAATGCGGCCATCAGGGCACAGACGCGGATCTGCCGTTGCAAAATGATAACCATGGTGATAAAGAAATCGCTTGTAGCTCGACCACACCAGAAAGAGTCATCGGGCTGAAACCCGCTACTCACCATCAGTTTACTGATATCTGATGCCTCAAGATGTACAGGGCCAATAACGCTTGTTCATAACAACAAAGGAGGATCGCACCTGAACCTTGAGAGGGGAGAGGTCGCGAAATTTCGAAAATTTGCAAACGGTTGACCCTGATGAGAAGACCATGAGATCACACAGTCAGAAACAATGGACTTCGGAACAGGAGCAGGGCAAGCAACCATGAAGAGGAACGCTGGGAGGATGTCATTAAGGAAAATTCACTAAAGTCAAATAAACGATCGAAGAAGCGTTGGGTAGGGAAGTGGCAACCATAAAAGAACAGAGCATACGACGGCGCTGGATTAACACTTGGACGAGGCAAGAGCATTGCGTAGTTGGTAAAGGCAACATTCGGTTGACACGGCAACAACAGCTCAAAGTTTGCTTTGCTAAGGTTTAAAAACAGATTCATTAATTTAAACTTCGTTTCACAACCATTGAACAACTTTTAACAATAGATCACAGAATATATCACAATCAGAGGTGAGCCTGCTTTTTTGCCTAGATTTTCGGCGAGCTTATCCATGAATCGAACGTGTTTTAGGTAATCTTCACGCGTGACACTGAAAAATTAAAAGTAAGAGACATTAGCCCTTGGACGAGAGTGGACGAGAGTGCGAATTTTTCAATAGCGGGCGGACGCGCTCTTTTTGGCGCGCCCCGCGTCGACTCAAATTGGCGATAGATTTGTCACTAGGAGGCAGTTTTTATCAAATTTTCATTTGTAGCGTATGTACTAGTGAGCGATATGACTACAGTTGTAGGTTATTATACTGTATGCTTGTTGTAAACAGGATTGGAAGTTCAAAAGGGTAACTAGGATTGAAAGGAAGGGAGGGCAAAACCCTGTGAGTTAATGTGTGCCGTAGAATTTTCGACCAAGTTCAAATCTCTCTCTCTTTCCTGAAGGCTATTAAAGCCGAAGAAACCTTGACAGGTAGTCAGCGTCCAGCCTATTCAGCAAAATTCCAATTTCATGCCGGCGAACAAAGGACCACTCTCAAATTTTATATAAATATCGGCACTATTGAGCTATTACAACCCAGAGGAGGTGAGATGGATCAAAAATTTTCGCTGAAACTTGCGCTAGGAGGGCTATCGAGGCTGTAATCTTGTGGATAGAGGTTATCGAGGCTCCTGATCACGAATATTACTATTACTATTACTTACTACGACCTTAGTTTTTGGCGCTGGCGCCAAATTGGCGCCCTTTGGCGCCAATTGGCGCCAAGGGTGTTTTCACCAAATTCGCTGTAAACTTGTTAATAGGGGTTATTTGAGGACCTGATCACGAATATACCATTGGTTTTTCGCGCTGGTGCCAAATTGGAGCTATCTGGCATTAATTGGCTACGGCCGCATCTGCCGTTCAGACCTCACTGACAGACGGTGTTGTCACTGGTACGATCGAGGTGAAAGGAGGTTGGATTCAGAGTCAACCCTGCGTTGCGCAGTTTTCAACGGTCACGTTGCGCAGTTTTGCCCGATTAGACACGTTCTCTCGCAAGAACATTCACACTCGCATGCTCGAGCCGTCTGCGTCTCCGCCCATACAGCGTGCGTTGAGAATCTCTCAACGTGCCGTTGCGAAATGCGCAACGCAGGGTTGACTCTGGTTGGATTCCTTTTTCTTCACGCTCACGCAATTCCTCAATTCCTCACGCTTGGAGACAGCCGGGTCGTGGGAACGCGATATGACCTGAGGCATTTCTCACGCTTGGAGACAGCCAGGTCGTGGGAACGCGATATGACCTGAGGCATTTCCCACGCTTGGAGACAGCCAGGTCGTGGGAAATGGAATGCGTAGCCATGGTCTCATTTCTCACTTTCGTTACCGAAGTAAAGCAATGGCTCTTAACCCTTTGAGGCGACGTAATCGCCAGCAGGAGCTCATGGACTTTTCACTGGAGGATGTACTCGAAAAACTGCAGATGGATCACCTGCAGTTCCAGGATTGGCTGCAATCTATGGGACTGATGTCTACGCCGTTATGCCCTAGCTGCCAAGGATCCATGGCGCCGAAGAACGACGAGCATCACAACGGCTGGGTGTGTAACCGAAGGGCGTGCAGTACCGGACCGACGAACGAAACGAAGATCTACGTCCCTGCCAGAAAAGGCTCATTCCTCGACAAATCCAACCTCGGCGAGTCGACTGTGTTTGCTCTGTCCTACTTCTGGCCCCGCGATATGGGAAAAGTGAAGGACAAGGCCTATGAGCTGCACATCAGCCCTCGCGCCATTGTTCAGTGGGAGCAACATTTTCGTGACGTGTGCGCAGAATACTTCAAAAGGAACCCACCGATAATCGGGGGATTTGGATGTGAAGTAGAAGTCGACGAGACCCTGGTCACTAGGCGCAAATACAACCGGGGACGCTGGGTTCGTAGACATCAATGGCTTTTCGGAGGCATCGAAAGGGGAAGCGGTCGAGCATTCCTCGCGCTGGTCCGAAGGAGGGACGCCCCTACTCTTCTGCGTCTCATCACGAAGTATTTACATCACGCCAGGGACCACCATCTTCAGCAACAGCTGGAGAGCCTACTCTCGAATTTCCGCCCTGCCCCTTGGATACAGACACCTCCAGGTCAACCACCAGTTGAACTTCGTCGATACAAGGACTGGAGCACATTCTCAGCATGTTGAGTCCCTCTGGCGAAGTATAGGGGTTGGAAAGCGACGCTACGGCATAAACAACGCTCGATATGAGGACTACATGCAGGAGTTCCTGTGGAAAAAGCAATACGGAGATCGACGCGAAGCTCCGTACAATTTCTGGGACCAGGTGGCAGCGCTGTACCCCTGCTGAACGAGTTCGACATCTTTCGTGAGCTAACCCAACGCCCCTCTTTAGGGCCACATTTAAAGTCACTGGGCAAACTAAGGTCATATTCGTGATCAGGAGCCACGACAACCCCCCTAACGCAAGTTTCAGCGAAAAAATTTTTTTGATCCATCTCACCCCCTCTGGGGTTGTAATAGCTCAATAGTGCCGAAATATCTTTTATGAAGCAGTTCTGTGGACCGCGCTAGCATAGAATTATGAAGTTTGCTGTTAATTGCTGGTATGTTGGAAATGTTCAATACGTGAATAAGGAAATGTTAAGGTGGCGCCCACTATTGGGTGCCGTTCTCCCGCGCAGCGCACAAAGTACAAAGGATTAAGGTTGGTATAACCAACGAAAGTTACTCACTTGCTCAAGCCTTTAATACATATAGCAAGGTCTTTGGTAAGGTAACCATCTTCCATGGTTTCGATACACACCTGAAAAATCATTCACCGTTCGATTATATCATTCATCGTCATCAATTTGAAGTGGTATAGATATACTCGTAACGTGTAGTGCAGCGTCGAGATACGCATTTTTTTAGATGAAACTTTTGTCTGCTAATGAGAGAAATCATAAAAGTTCGAAATTGAGCCCAGCTCTGCTTATTAACACTTTGACGACAGCGCACGTTTTGGGTTTTTTGATCACATGGGACAGGAAGGATTTAACTAGCGCGGCCGCTTCACCTCACACCCGAAAAGTGATAACTCATGAATGCACAAAACCATTTCAGCAATAGTGGAACTCCGATCAAAAGACATTGTACTGATAAGACGAAAACGACGAGCCGCAAATTGTGTAGCGATTAGAGAAACTCCGCTAAATTGAAGCATATTTAATCATACAGTGAACCATGTCATTTACAGCTCTTTATGGCATAGAAAATACAACCACTTTTAAGCAGTCGCGCAAGCGCGAGAGGAAAGATGGCTTGGGGGACGCGCAACAGCGTCACAATACCCTACGTGGTGTGCAAAATGAGACGCGAAACCGCGTCAGACTGTCGTCATGCGTTATGTCGTCACAAAAGGTAAATTCAAAAATGATTTCAATGCGACGGATAGTTTTATCTGAATCACGAAAGGATGGAGGAAAAGTATGGCTACCTTCTCAAGATTCTCTGCGAATTTTGCCAATTCCATGTTATTGTCAAGCGAAGCTCTGTGTGCCAGACCTCGAGTCCAAGCAAAAATAGATGCTGAAACAGACTCATCAGTGGCTATAGTTAGAACATATTTTGTGGAAAGCAAGTGAGCAGCAAGTGGCGAACCTATGGGATTAGTTGAAGTCTCTTGGCCCTTCTGATGAAGACGATAATGGCGTGTAACCGTGCCATGAGCAGCTTCTGCTTCTACGGTTCTGCCATCAGGGCATACCAACACCGACGTCATGAGACCCAAGGAGCCGTATCCTTAAAGTAATATTCTTGAGCATACTAAACACCCTTGTAATGAAGGAAATTTGCTAGATAAGGAGCGAAGGGCACTAGATGTTATACCTTGAGCGACAGAGTCAGATTGAACGTCTCCGTCATAATTCTTGCACGCCCAAACAAATCCCCCATCACTTTTCATTGCCTGTGCTACCATGTCGTCTATGAGCCTATGTTCATACCAGATGCCAGCGGCTTTGAACTGCGACTCGTATTCCTGGAAAGGTCATTTACAAAAACCTTCCCTTTTTGGAAAACGCTTTTGAGTCCCAATCCAAAACTAACCGGGTATATCTCGGCAAAGATATCCTTGAATCTGCCATCGTATTTCTTTAGGATAGTGTTCTTGGTGGACAAGTAGAGCGGATACCTTCTTTGAAGGGCGTATTTGAAAGATGCGTGTGCAAAGTCCCTGAAATATGAACAGTCTCGATGGCTCATACACACATGGCTAGAGGGCAAGGTGGCCTTTGTGTTGCCATTGAATATCATTGATGGACTAAACCCCTCAGCGCGCGAAGAGAGGGTTGTTGCGACCGGCTTTTAAAAGGCATGCCCGTAGACCACATAAGTGCAGGGTCAACCGTGCGTTCGCACTATTCGAACAAGGGGGTCGCATTTGAAGGGGGTCGCCTTAAGGGGTTGATAATTTATTGTGGCGCGCAGCGTGAGGCAAAATAGGTGGAGGTAGAGAAAATTTGTCATTCATTGGACTATTCCCCTGCGACGGCGTTTCGGAAGAAAAGGTGGGTGGAGTTGGAGCCTGGTCGAATAGATCTCAGAAATCAAGATCTTTTATTAGGTTGTCTCATAAGTGATGGCTGTTTTTTTCAACCAAAAAATTTTTCATCTAAATCATGAATACCTTTACATCGTTATTGTAATATCATTCGAAAGAGAATGTCTACTCTACAAAATGCTGTGTTCCGCTTCCACCGCTATTTTCAGAGTTTTTCGAATTCAGGCCAGCAAGAATGAGGAGGTGCTCGCCGGCAAAAATTGACCAAATCGACAACTGCTGTAACTTTATTTATCCTGGGAAGAAATCAACCAGTGAATCGCTACATACTTACCCATGACGTCTTCTAATCATTCACCTTTAGGTTGCCGAATAAAGCTTAGCCGTATTTTCTTTCGAATCGGCGACGGATAAGCCCAATAGCACGATTTTCAAATTAAAATTGTTCTCGGTAAACGTCATGTTTTCATATCGAGTGTGTTCCTTTTACGAACACTTTCTGCTCTCTCGCTCATTTGCTTGTTTCGTCTGGTTGGTGGAATTAGGTCGAATTTTAGATGTGTCCGTATAAGGTGTTTTAACGCGCGAAAGTGACCACATGTTTTGAAAAAATTATCCTTAGAAAATGAGAAAATCAACCAGTCGTTACATTCGTTAACTTTAGTTCATGACTGTTCTTCAATTTCAACCAGTTCTTCAACGCTCGGCCATAAAAAAAATTTCGACCTAGACTTCACAGGTCAAATGGTGCCCGACTCGTCGAGTTGTGGTTGAAAAACCAGCTCTGGAAATCTGAAACGCAATTGCGATTGTAGGAAACGCCTAGTAGTGTAATGAATTAGAAGAGGGCATGCATTAAGAGAAGGTACAATCTAGATTGATTTCTCCCAAGGAAAGATTAATGTTACGAGGATAGTTTCGGTTTGGCCCTTTTTTGTCCGCCGACCTCCCATTTCACAGGCCCAATTTGGAAACCTGGAAGAACGTTGGATTGTTACATACGCATTTTTGTAGCGCAGACAATTCTCTTCCGAAATGGTACATCAACGTCGATGTAAGCCATGGGAGGTTTAGATGAAAATTTTCTTGGTCATAAAAAAAAGCGACACTGTTATATGAGACAACCTAATAAGACAGCCATGAGGCAAGGGTGCGGCGGAGAAGGAGGAAGGCGATCCCTAATAGGGTAGCCTCCCCAGTCGAATGGTGGTGGGTGAGGGGTCGCATCGAGAGCTTTTGAGGATTGAGATCGCGAATTTTTGAAAACATGCGAATGTCAACGGTTGACCCCGTCATTGATGGCGTCTCTGCACACGAATGTCGAGTTTGTAGTGGTGCGATAGCGGAAATTAGTAAAGAGAAAGAAAATGAAAAGAATTTCAAATACGCTAGGCTTGACGGCTCGCTCACCTCTTAATCGTTGGGTAAAGGATGACAGAACAAGCAGCAGAGGGGAGAGTAAGGGCGAGTGAGCCGCTACGCATTGAGAGAGATAACAGCCTGAAAGAGATAAGAAAAGGCTGGCAGCTTCAGCAGCTTACTTTGCAAGGCCCAAGCGCTCTTGTGGTTGGTTTCCCGTGCACAGGTGACGCCACATTCCTGTGTTGTCTCCTAGGTCCATACTACAGAAGGGGAGCGTTCACACGACCTTTCATCAATCAAGTTCAACGGGTCATCAAACACCGCACCATCTCTCCAGCCATCGCGATCATAGCTGATTGAACTATTTTTTGCCACACAAGCCCCATGACGCAAGTTCTATGTTATCTTGTTAATAAATCGTCCTCACACAATAATAGAAAAAACATGTAAATTATTCGGAATTCTTCTCTTACCTGTATCGCTTCACTCGTGTATACATTGAAAAGCGATACTCCTGCCCTTGCAAATCAAACACTTCATGATTTAGATTTTCTTTCGCCACCGTCTGCAGGTACGAACTTTATCTCCAATTTGCCAGCTCCCGGGACAACAAATATACAGTGGCCTTTGTACTAAATGTTTGTGCTCAGCATTACATGTCCTTCTCAAAAAAAGAAAAACCGACAGACGCTGGTCCGGTGGTGCTATGACGCCAATAATAAGTTGGTTTCGACATGTGTTATACCAGCGTGGGACATTTTAAAATGCATCGGTCATCGGAACACATACTAAAACTGGTTATTAATGGCACCAGTGGATGCGGACTCGATTCGGCAGTTCACGATATTGAAGTGGGAAAAAACGGAGAGTTAACGAGTAAAATTGAGTAATAAAGTAAGCGATTCGATAAAGGAGGGAGCGCATCGGGAATAGCCAGAAGCGCCACACGAAAGCGAATATTTGTGGCCAGGATGGAAAAGTGTGCCTTACACGCGAATAGGTGGAGCCATTTGCTGAGCAGGACCTTGAAAGTGCGCCCGCCCCACAAGCAATCCGGCTCACCTGTTTACTTGTGATTTGGAGGAGCTGCTGGCTAGCAGTGGCCGCAAATGGCATCACTTCGATTAAAGCATGATTTGGATTGGTGCCATCAACACGTGTGCGGGAAGTTGTTTATACGTCACTTTCTAAAAATTGTTACGGTCGCGTTTCGCGTTTTCTTGACGAATTTTCTGCTTTTGCCACTGGCCGCACCCACTTGGAGCAGCCACCACCGCCACAATGAGCCCTCTTTGAATTTTCCGTAATCGCTGCCTTTTAAGTGGCGAACACAAGTGTCACGATTAGCGTCACCACTGTTCAGCCAAAGGCGCTCTGCGTAACCTTCTCTACGGAAACACACGGTCAGGGGTGACGTAGGGTTCCTGGCAGCGAAAACTTTCGTGCTGCCCAAGCGAAAGTCGCCTCGTCCCTGAACCAAACCCAGCGCACCTGGTGATTAGCTCCGCTGTAAGAGGGGAGAGGGGTAGCAAAATAGAAGCATACAAAATTCATCTCGAAAGATTCTAACGGTAGGACATCTTACAACAAGGATCACAATCAAGATCATCTGACGAACCATATGAAAAGGGAAGTTAGACTTTGGAAGGTGTTGCGCATCACCTGACGAGCGCGGGACCATGGGCTGAGAGGTATCGAGATACACTGGAATAGGCGTATACGGAGAAAAAAAACGTGCTTAGCGTCAGTAGATAACCAGAGCGGGAAAATGAGTTCAAGTGAGAAAAAAAAGAAAAAACCCGGATTACGTTTATCACGAGTTGGTGAAAAAGTTGCTATGACAAACTCACTAAACGCGCGGTCCGGGACTACGCGGGTCCGACTTTCGACTGACAACATCATATTGCATTCTAAGCAGCTTAGAGGTTACGAAAAATCTCAGAGAAATTGTACGACTCTTTAGATAGGAATGGAACCATGGAAGCTCCATGACTGGAGAGCACGTGTCAAGGTGAGCAGAGTTCATACCCAGAGTGGCGGATGTGGCTCTGACAAGCACCAGCGAAACGGATAGAAACGGAATAGATTTGGAGGTTACGTCCGTAGTAAGCAATGCGCGCTGCGATGGTCAGAGCAGTGACTGGGTACTCCGATTGCCTTTTTCTATTATGGAAGTCGAGTCTGATGTCTGTGATATATGCGGAAGGGATAAAGTGCTCAAAGATTGGCTGCTGAGCGTTCTTAGTCTACACAAATAAATGCCAAAAAAGGATAAAAAATAGGATGTATTGAAACAAAAAAATTGGAAAAATCACCTCCCAAAATATTTCTGATTGTGCGTTTGCGTGACTTCCACATCTTCTTAAGGTTGAACTCTATAACAGTAAAACATGTGATTGAACCCTTAATTTTACCTAGTTTTGCAATTAATGTACCTTCGACTCGAGCTCGTCAGGAGTAATTGTGGCACATTTGACCGGCAACATATGTTACTTCAAAGTAGCTTTGGCAGGCATCATATTGTGACTAAAAAACGACTTTGACAAAAACTCCACACACTTCTTGCACCTCAACAGTCGTCAAATCTCAAGAAAATATTAGGATTTAAATGTATTATATATTATTATATATATTATTTTATATATGTATTTATTATATATAGAGTATTATTATTATTATAATAATATTATTATAATATATAGTATTAAATGTACAGCTGAATGGGAACGTGGGTAATTTTTGCCTTAAAGGCAAAAGTCCAGGCTCGTGTTTCGGCATTATGGCGCCTATATTGAGTTTAGAAAGTGGGAAGTGAGAACGACAGTAAGCGAAAATTGCAAAGAAACCGCCGGACAGACCCGTAATCCGAAACCCCTTTCTTTTTAGCAGTGAAGGAGGGTTTCTCGGGGGGAAGAGTCACGTCGCAAACGAGTTTTCTGGATTTGCCAGCCGTTCCATCGGTTTGATACAAGGCAATCAGCGGCGCGGCTCAGGGCAGCTGAATCTACACGTGAGGCCCAGCCACGCTCCACATCCACATCTCGTGGCCCGGAAATTCTCGCGCACGGCAGCACACAATTGCAAGGCCCTAGCGCCTTTGCCGCGCACTTCCTTGTCGCGACAGCGTCACACCCCTCTGCTTGGAGACCCCACTTTCGCACCCTATAGAAGGACTTCCTCATGTTCCCTAATCCTGACTCGTGGCTTTCAATCACCACTAGGATTCCCTCGGCGATAAGTTACCATGTTCACATGAGAGAATGGGAATGGAGTAGCAAACAAATTGCACCTTCAGTATTCAAATTTATTTCTCCTAGCAATTTCATTTGCTGAAAGATTATCATAGAATCAAAGCCATTTGGATATCAATATGAACACCTACCCTGGTCATCAGTCGCGTCTCTGTTCTCGATTCCCAAATCGAAAAAATGGATGTCTAAGTCGACAAAAGGTAGGATGAGCTTCTCTTTGATGAGGTCCCAGATAATTCTACAAATACGAGATGCAATAAAAAGTTTTTACTATGGATATTTTTTGATTTATTCTTTGGTGATATTACCAACGTATTCCCAAATATTTCACGATTTGGCATACAGTGTGCAGCGTTTTCTTGGTCTATCTTCACACTCCGAATAGGGAAGAGCCAGATTCGGAAAATTGGAGAATTTCAAGGAACTGAGGAAGCGATGAGTACCCAGCCTTTTGTCGCTAGCATTTCTCAAAAATTAGTCAAGCCAACCAATCTGTATATAATCGGTGTAGCAGACTCCTCAATTCTTGCAGAACCCTTGGACTGAATACCGCCAAAGAATTTCAGGCTGAATGTCAGAGTCCGCGATCCGTCGCAGGTTTCGTTGATTTTCACGATTTGCGCGATATTCCCGAAACCTGCGATGGATCACAGGAGTACACAAGGCACAACACACCCAAGGCGCCCGCGAGCTGTACTGGAACATTTTCAAATTTCCCGTACACTTCGCGGGCGCTACCGGCTCGACCGTGCTCGCTCCGGCGCCCATAAAACGTGGAAAAAGTAGGGGAGGGGCGAGGGTGATAGAGGCACCTTCGATTCCTCTGCTACGTCGCAGGCTTCGCGCGGATCACAAGAATTGCAAGTGTCCCATTTGAACAATTGAAACACTGAATATGAAACAAGTGGAATCATGAGCAGTCTTATTAAACCATAACCATGAAGCAGAAGTGACGGCGGGATTGGAGAACACCTTACAGTATTGATGGGGCACTTGCGATTTCCGTGACCCGCCGCGTGATTCGCGAAAATCAGCGAAACCTGCGACGGATCGTGGACTCTGACATCAGCCTCACAGAGGCAATGGTGGAAAGGCGCTTCTCGTCTGTCAGTATCAGCCACCGATTTCTTACATGAGCTCTGAGAAAAGTTGATTTACAACTTCGCCGATTTCTTATCTCTATCAGCAGAATGCCATTGTTTCGTAATCGCCGACCAAGGGAAATCACCATAGTGTACAGACGAGCGATTTACCGAGTAGAGAAGATAAGAACAATTTCGACATGAAATATGCCCTACGACTGCGACTTTCATTATCGATATTACTGCCTATTACACTGGGCCAAAGTGAGGCAAAAACTCATTTCGCTGAAACTTCTCCAATAACTATTATTGATAGCTATGATCACAAACATGGCACGTAGGAGATCGTCTGGTGCCATAAATTATTTATTTTCCATCCAACTTCTCAAAAACTTTTACTAAGAGTTATTCAGTGTCCTGGTCACGAATTTCATGTTTTTTGGCGCCGACACTAAACAACATTTTTACTAGTGTGACGCCTTTAGCATTCGCGCCAATGCAGGGCTGCCGATTTTCCAGCGTGAAAGCAAATCAAGGAGACAATTACAGTTGCGGTATAATAATAAATGCCAAGGGATTGTCGGGGATTCCTACATGTATGTTTACAACAAATTCGGTGAGGCTTCGAAAAGATGGATGCGAAATTGTGGCTCAAATGCGGCCGATGTCAAAATAAACGCCGAACTCGTGGCCCATACCATCAATAATCTGCGCCAAGGATCTTGCAAAAAAAAATCCACTTCACCCCTAATGCTGCTATTGATGATTTTAATAGTGCTCAAAAAATAGGGACTACTTTAGCTCCCTCAGTGGTCCTGCCGCGAGTGACACAGAGGAATAAAACGACGGCTGGTTCATTTTCAAACACCAAGGAGGAAAGTGAGAGCTCCAAAACCAGGACTTGGAGGAGAGGAGAGACTCCGGGGTGGGTGAACCAAATACAGTGAGGCAAAGTTTGAATGTGTGAGGTCACATTAGCCATGAGCCATTGTTTAGGCAAGTGGGCGCAGGCACGAGCATTAAATTGAGGTTTTTGAAAGGAACGAATTGAAATAATCTTTACGCGAGCTGTACTGGTAAGCAATGGCGAGAGGACATTGTGGATGGAACGAGTACGGCTCTCTGTTCTCTAGGAGCAGTACCCTACTTTTCCCAGGGAAAATCAC